GGCGCCAGGCGGCCAACGGTCCGGATTCTAGCAGCCTTTGGCTTGAATCCATGCCCATCTAACTCCCGCCCCAAGAGCATACTCTTGTATCGATTTGTCATGACCGGTTGGGGCTGTCAGAATTGATAACACCTAGCTGTTCGGCACCTGTTGCGCAGCGTCGCTACATTCCCGGGTCAGGTTACAACCCCTGAGACAAAGCGACAAGTGCAAAGGATCTAATGGCACCAGCGCACGGCTAGTTGATGGTCGGGAATTACTGACATTGCTCGCCCAGTGCACGACATCTTACCAATGTAAGCTCTTTCCATAATGCATATGCATGTTTTATTGATACAGCCTTTCATTAGGTGGCTTTTGTTGATTATATCTCCGTTGACTACCGAACACCTACCGCGTCTCAAGAAAAGTTTAGCAAATAACGTGCGTCCCAAATGAGACAAACATCGGGAGCGCAGATCTTTGAAATGTAAGCTAAGTGTGATGTGTATATTGTTTACGCCAAAACGACGCACACAATGACGCACAAGGGTTTCACAAACCTATCGTTTAGCAATGTTCGTGCACGAGCTATGTTTGGGATCACGTAAAAGTTTGTTGAATTGGGGTGGTCCCCACTGAACAGCAGCTGTTCGTTCTGTCGTCAAATTTCCAGGCCATTCTGGCATAATTCTCCACCGTTTGCAGTCGACACTAATGCACGGTCGACGATGACTTATGCGTCCATTTCGATCTCGACTAAGGTAAACAACGATAAATCCGTTCTGCCGTTGTCGAAATCGCCACTCCTCGTCTGATGCCTGCCCAGCGGACTGAGGGCGTTCCACTACACCCGCTCCTCGTCCGATGCCCGACCAGCGGACCAAGGGCGGTTCGCTGCACCTCCTCCTCATCCGGTGCTAGAACAGCGGACTGAGGACAACCCACCGTACCCCCCCCCCCGCCTCCTCCATTGTTGGATGCCTGGTCGGCGGATCGAGGACGATCCACTTGTCCTCGTCCTTGTCCTTGGTGGGATGGGGACGTACCGCACCGTGAACAAGTCACCGTACCCCTCCTAACCTTGTTGAGGCCTGGCGAACCACAGCAAGCGTCTGTTGAAGGCGCCGTAGAGATTACCGCCTCGTTCATCTTCGCAGAAACAGCGCAAGCGCAGCTGAACTGAGGTAATCGCGGCGGCATGTGTGACCCTCCACCTAATGTACCGCCCCCGCCCCTCACACAGGGCGTGCCACCGTCGATCATAGAGGTCGATTAGTCGCCGTCCGACGGCTTCTGGCACTCGCCGGAACTCAGCTTGCGTCATACTCGAGGGCCTATGACGTCACGTGGCTCCCGGACAAATTACAAGGCGTGCATTGTTTATGCCAGGCACCCAACGACTCACACCGATGTGAAGCCACACGGAGTCCTCTTCTCAGCTGCAGTGACCTCTTACACGACCGGAATTCCCAACGTTTTACTGCTGCAAGCAGACATGTATGTGTATTTGTAGCCAACATATCACCCAGTGTCCGTATTGTCAGTTTTCATAATTTGCGTGGGCTTCTCGCCCGTTTAGCTATCTCATCGCACCCCGTCTGGGCCTAGCCGGCGCGGAACATCAGCACACGCCTCCTCCTGATGCCCATACAGCACCTGATGTCCTGAGCCCGGCAGGAGACCCCGCAGGGTTGCACACCTGTTAGTACCCCCCCCCCCCCCCCCCCCCCCCAGGTCTGTACAATTGTAATGGTTTGAATTGGCCATGGAATCTACGGCATACACAGGATATTTTAGATCCCAGAACGTCTTGGATCCCTGCTCTGAAAACAGCTCCTCGGCTGGTGTCCCAATGTCTCGATTTCTCCGTTGTCAGTCCCGCTCTCCCTGCTCTCCCCGGCGGTCCAGCGCTCTGCTCTCCCTCTGTTGGCGGTCCAGCGCTCTGCTCTCACAGTGCTGACGGCGGTCCAGCAATCTGCTCTCACAGTGCTGACGGCGGTCCAGCGCTCTGCTTCCGCAGTGCTGACGGCGGTCCAGCGCTCTGCCCCCGCAGTGATGACGGCGGTCCAGCGCTCTGCTCTCCCACTGTTGATGACGTTCCAGCGCTTGGCTCTCACAGTGTTGACGGCGGTCCAGCGCTCTGCTCTCCCACTGTTGACGGCGGTCCAGCGCTCTGCTCCCGCAGTGCTGACGGCGGTCCAGCGCTCTGCTCCTCGGTGCTGACGGCGGTCCAGCGCTCTGCTCCTCGGTGCTGACGGCGGTCCAGCGCTCTGCCCCGCAGTGATGACGGCGGTCCAGAGCTCTGCTCTCCCACTGTTGACGGCGGTCCAGCGCTCTGCCCCCGCAGCGTTGACGGCGGTCCAGCGCTCTGCTTCCGCAGTGCTGACAACAGTCCAGCCGTCCCCCCCCCCCCCCCTCTCTCTCTCTCTCCCACTACTGACAATGCCCGGTCGAGAGCTCGACACTGGCCCACGTTGATCCACACACCTCGGACCAGCCTACCGACGCCTCTGTTTGCCGACTCTCGATGGAAGGGGGGGGGGGGGAGAGCGCGTCGCGCCGGCCCTCATTTCCAGCCGGACGGCCCGACGAGTTGACGGGCCGGAGCGGCCTGTTGTCCTCGCGCCGGCCGGCCTCGGCCCCACAAAGGAGCGTTTCTGGCACGGCGTCCCGGTGTGAGGACGCAGTGGCGTGGGAGCTCATTGTGGTGCTTTCCAAACAATGTGCTGCTTCGCCGAACACTGCGCTGTGGGGCTGGGTCAGTCGCGCAGGGCAATGTGTGGTGGCCGCTTCAAAGCGCGGGCATCAGGACTGGTCGCGAAGTATGGGGCGGGCGGGCAAACAAAACATCCCCTTGGCAGGCGGCGCTAATGCGGAGCAAGATAGCGCAGCTGCACTGCTGCTGCTTGGCTGGCCGTTAGGACAATGAATTGCCGACAGTCGACGCATTTCACACTCCCGAAATCCCAGATACTCATCTGCAGATCCGGAAAATCATTAATTTGTCACGCTGGCACGTGTGAAATTCATCTAAATCTCGCCGCAGAACTGTTCGACAGATGAAGGTAGCAGTCAGCCAAAACTCACAGGTATTGATTAACTGGCGGGAGCGCTCCCGCCCCCCTCCCCTCCCCCACCCCTCACGCTCCGGACGGCAGAGAGGCGTAGATGACGACCCAAATTCAGCTCGACTGGCTGTGGTAGGTTTGCCGTTCGGTCTTAATGCCAGACGTATTGGCGATCGGATCGGTTCACGTTGAAATCAAGTCATTAATCTTAAGGTAAGTCTTTAAGTATCTTTAGGAACATATCTGTGTTATGTAAATCAAGCATCTTTTGTATATTTCAGAAGCTGTTTAGGGTTATTCTGTGCTGATCTTCGCTTGAAGTTGGTTTTGCGTGTACTTTTATTAGACGGCTGTAATGTACAGGAGAAGCAACCAAATTCTATGGTTCTGTTCACACTAAGAATCATTTGTACGTGTATTACCGTCTCATGGTCATCCAGCCTTTCTCCTCTCATGTTTTTCGAGTGACTATGTGTTCCCGCATCAATACGCTTGCATTTAAAGGTGTGCTTAGATTGATTTTTAATTGACTCTCATGCTCAAAAAGGTGTGAAACTTGTTTTTACAAGAATAACAAATGTAAGGAAGCGGGTTTATGCTAAAACAGGTGGCATTCCCGTTGTTTCGCATGTCCGCTAATGAGCCTGTTTGAAAGTTGAACTGGCCGAAATAAATCACCTTGACCTGTTAGCTCAGCGGAGTGATTACATGTATTCAGAGAGAGAGTCTTTGCCAAAAGTGTTTAAGGTGCCTCGCAATGTCGTGGCACGGTCACTCCTGTGTCATCCAGGCTATTAGGATCAGTTCTCAGGCGGCTGTCAATAACAAACCACATCAGCGCGACATGGGCGTGATCTCACAAGACCCTCTCACACAACACCCGGCTCGGAGTTCCAACAACCGGGCGGGGCGTGATCTCACAAGACCCTCTCACGACACCCAGCTCGGAGCTCCACCAGCCAGACGGGGCGTGATCTCACAAGACCCTCTCACGACACCCAGCTCGGAGCTCCACCAGCCGGGCGGGGCGTGATCTCACAAGACTCTCTCACAACACTCGGCTCGGAGCTCCACCAGCCGGGCGGGGCGTGGTCTCACAAGACTCTCTCACAACACTCGGCTCGGAGTTCCAACAACCGAGCGGGGCGTGATCTCACAAGACCCTCTCACGACACCCAGCTCGGAGTTCCAACAACCGAGCGGGGCGTGATCTCACAAGACCCTCTCACGACACCCAGCTCGGAGCTCCACCAGCCGGGCGGGGCGTGATCTCACAAGACTCTCTCACAACACTCGGCTCGGAGCTCCACCAGCCGGGCGGGGCGTGGTCTCACAAGACTCTCTCACAACACTCGGCTCGGAGTTCCAACAACCGAGCGGGGCGTGATCTCACAAGACCCTCTCACGACACCCAGCTCGGAGCTCCAACAACCGGGCGGGGCGTGATCTCACAAGACCCTCTCACGACACCCAGCACGTGAGCTCCACCAGCCGGGCGGGGCGTGATCTCACAAGACCCTCTCACGACACCCGTCGAAGCTCCACCAGCCGGCGGGGTGATCTCACAAGACTCTCTCACAACACTCGGCTCGGAGCTCCACCAGCCAGACGGGCGTGGTCTCACAAGACTCTCTCACAACACTCGGCTCGGAGTTTCGCCAGCCGGGCGGGACGTGATCTCACAAGACTCTCACTCAACGCCCAGCTCGGAGCTCCATCAAACGGACGGGGCGTGATCTCAAACGACTCCCACACAACACCCAGCTCGGAGTTTCACCAGCCGGGCGCATCGCCGTAAAAAGACACTGTTCACGACAGCAACGCCGAAAATATGATTCACTGACCTTCAGTTGCTCTTGTTGCTGCTGTTGCTGTTGCTGTTGCTGTTGCTGTTGTTGTTGTTGTTGTTGTTGCTGCTGCTGCTGCTGCTGCTGCTGCTGCTGCTGCTGCTGCTGCTGCTGCTGCTGCTGGCTCAGCTGGATGCTGTGTTGCACCAGCCGCAGCTGCTGGATCATCTCCTGGATCCGCTGCGGCTCCAGTTGTTTGTCCAGCAGCAGCGGCATCAGATCCGGCGGAGGCGCGTTCGCCTCAGGTGAACCGCCGTCTCTGCTGGATGGTGTTCAAGTTATGTAGGTCAAATTGTGCAAACTCGAAGCTGAGTGAACTCTTTCAGCCAAATCCACAATTAGGGGAGTGATCTACATCCCACGGGCGCTGCTTCATCACGTTGCTTATATTTCACCTGTCCCTGATTTAAAGCGATATCAGGATATACTGCCCTGCCAGCGATTTGTTCATCGCGCTGATCCACAACTAAACCATCGTGCCTGCACATCCAAGCATGACCACGTTTCACAAAACGTGCCAAAAGACGACCGGTCACCGCTCCGTATAACCGAAGTCATCAACTTCCCATCTAATCGACGCGCATCTCCAGCGTTTGAAGCTGCTCTTACAGCGGCGATGCCGAGTCGTCCACCATTTTGGCGGCGAGTCGGCGCAGCACGGCCTCCATGTCGCGCCGTTGCGGGGGCGGCTCGGCCGTCACGGTTGCGGTCCGGTCGACCTCTGTGACCCCGGGTGACCTCCGTCGCCCGTCAAAAGCCGCCTCCGCGCCCAGGGGGAGCTCGTACAGCTTGAATGGCGGCGACTTCCGCTTGGAAGACATGGCACTGAAAAGAGACATCGGTGGACGGTCGGTTAGGTGACGCAATTTCTTGAAACGCGCCGGGAACCCTGACGTCTTCAGACAAATGTCAGGATTTCCCAGAGACATGTGCAGCATGTTTGTATATGTTAGCAAAGGCGGACTCTCACTGAACCTGGAACATCGCTCTGGTGAACATTGCTCGTTACCTTGAGGAGGAGACCCCCCCCCCCCCCCCCCTATTCTACCCACCCGTTGGACTCGCCAGCCTGCGTTCAAATTTGGATAAACACGCTGCCTAATGCATGCTCGGACACTCCGCGAAGGATGCAGTGTGCAGCCACGAGAATTACTCATCATACCAGGGCCTTCGAAGAAACCGAACAACATAAACAACGCCGAGCAGAGGAAATAATTTGCAGCGGTAATACGATAACTAAACAGTCTTAGACACCCACTCAATCGCCCGCTGTTCCAGGAACTTTTGGAAAAGTGCTGAAGAACGCTAAACATATCCATCCCTGATTTCGCACTCAGATATATTATGCTATTATCATATTTCACTGAGCCTAGTGGCCTCACAGATAACTCCGGATATCTTCTGAGCTTTGCAGAAACATGACAGCCTAAAATGATGGTGTCAAAATCAGCTAGTAATAACTTCCGCGACGGTCTACAAGTTGCAAAGTTGACTGATCTAGGTAAGGCCTCAGGCGTAAAAGAGGAAGAGCATTTGTGCAGTTTTTCTGATCATAAAAAGCTCACTCACTTTAGTTGTAGTTTGACGGCGAGACTTTCGACAAGCTATCGTATCCTCTTGGAATGTAGATGCATTGGTGATAGTTGCAACAAGGCTGTAACTATCAACAACTCCGATATCACGTCTTTAAAAGTAATATTTACTCAGCGTGTAGTGATCTAGAATGTGTTGGCCGAGCTCACACAGAAGGGAATTGTTAGCTAAGATGCAGATCGCCAACTGCCAAAGATTAACTATCCCATTAAAGGAAGGTGACCTGATAATCGGTTGTATGCTATGATCGCGCATAAGGATGATTACGTTCCTTGGCTTCGTCAGAAGAGAATGGTCAGATGTGCGCGAGCACCCCCGCCATTCGAACTGACGCGGATACGGACAAGATAAGGAGCGTATGTACCCGCCCAACAACTCACATGCAATACTGAAATAAAATGAAGTCCATAACACAATGTATGACGTGTATGTTGGTAGTTGGTAGTCGGTGTGGCTCGTAGTTTATAACAAAGTACAAATCAGCACACCATTGTTCACAGAGAACAATCGAGTTTTCAAATAAGTAGGATAGTGTACATCCTTTGTGAACACCAATGGGCATCCCAGTAAAGAAGAGAACCTTTTCCAAGAATTCAGTTTACTTACTGTGGTAAGATTTTGTATCAGTCTGGCAGTCAGTCAACACAGCCTGCGATCGAAACATACCAGCACAGCTATTCGATACTACAGATACTACAGCACAGCTACAAGCTACTGAATCCCAGCATCCCTCCTATGAAATGGCTCGGCAATGGAGGAAAGACCCGTACTATCCACACTGGGCGCCCAAAATCTGTGTCCACACCGATCGTAGCCCTGAAAGTGAAGCATCGGCTCGACAAAGATACGTCGAGAGCATCAAAATCGAATGGGTTAAAAGTCTCCCAAATATTCCTAACGACATCGTCACTGAAAGACTCGGGAGAGTAAGATAGGGGTAAAGTCGGTGCCACATCTTCTCACTGAGGAGCAGGGGCGGGGTCACACCAAAGTTTCGTCAATATGTCTTGTCTGACCATGCAGGGAAAAGAGCATATTCTCCACAGAATTCCCGCACGTGATGAGACAGTGACCCATTCTCGGTAACCACAACTGAACATTCGGAGCTCGGATGGTGGGTGCCTGAATAAACTCGCTCAAGGCGCATGCGCATCATGAGCAAGTCCAACGTCATACAAATGCCTTTCTTCGAAAAGAGTAAATCACCTTCAATAAAGCAGTTCCAGTGGGTCAGAACGTCATGAGGAACCATTGTCAAGCGTTTTGAACAGGATACGACACACCATCAAAGATAAGCGTCCCCGGCTCCGAGAAACAGGTGTTATTCTGCTAGAGATGATGCTGTCCCATATCCGGGGAGGACCGTACAGGTGACGCCTGATTTTTTAGATGAGCCAGCGACTCCCCAGACAAGATCTACCACTAGGCGACCTCTTCCTGTTCCCGAAGCGAGTGGAAGTCCCAAGGACCTCCGGCTCAGCGCCGAAGAACTTATCAGGGTCGCGAATCAGGCATCCCTCGCAGGCCTGGCGGGACGGGGAACGGCAGTGGGATGAGAAGTCAGTATAGTGAATATGTGAGCATGTAGCTATGCATGTATGCACCACATTACATGTGACATGCCATGCGCGCCATGTGACATGTCTGTGAACAGATGCACCAGCTTAAACAGATAAGGATATCAATGAATGAGAGCGTTATCAGAAATGGACTATTCCTTCATATCAGAGGACAGTGCGGCCTCGTCAGCACGACGACGACCACCCGTGCATGTCTTCAAGTCTGGCATATCCGGCAGAACATGACAGCGTCACACCCCGCCCAGAGTGCCGGAAGTGAGACTCCAGGCAGCCGTGGCGGCATCATATGCATCTTGGCGAACCCGGACCGGCTGCGGTAAAAACCGCCGGAAAAACTCGTCCGCAAGCCGACCCAGAGTTGACAGCTTTGATTTACGCCGCGCGGGAAGCGACACGAAAAATCGCCGGCGCCCCCGGCAGATGTTTCATCGGACCGGTGCCGGGCGTTACCGCAGCGCCCGAAACAAAGACCGGCACGGCACGGCACGGCACGGCGGCCAGATGTGGTCGCCGACAGCACCGCCGGGCCGGCACAGGTGCGAGACCCCGGTCAGGACAGGATGACGGCGCGGTAACCGCGTGTGAAGGCCTCGAGCCACGATAATTGGTGCGAAAGTTAAGCTTTGGGGAAGATCACCCGCACGTGGCCGAGATATCACTTCAAATGCTGCTCAGTTCCTGCAAGGCTGCCGTGCAGCACTGCTGGGCGTTGGCTGCTCGGCCAGCAGCTTTGTGATTAAGCGCCTTGTCAATCCGGCCGCCCACGGCTGCGACTCGACTGCTGGACAGTTGCACCTCAGCCGCTGCACGGCTGCGGCTCGGCGGCTTGACAGCTGCAGCTCAGCCGCTGCACGGCTGCGGCTCGGCTGCTGGACAGCTGCAGCTCGCCCGCTGCACGGCTGCGGCTCGGCTGCTGGACAGCTGCAGCTCGGCCCCTGCACGGCTGCGGCTCGGCTGCTGGACAGCTGCAGCTCAGCCGCTGTACGGCTGCGGCTCGGCTGCTGGACAGCTGTAGCTCGGACGTCGCGCGGCTGCGGCTCGGCTGCTGCTCTGCGGTTACAATTTCAGCCACATAACTGGACGCGTATGTGCCCATTGCCCTACAGTTCAAAGCGAGGCCCATGATGACATCGCTGTAACCAGCCAACAGCGTCTGTTGACGGCACTTAAACCTTTTTTTACAGTTTTGTAGCCCTAAGAAGATTATCATCCTCCCCCTTGTTTACGGCTTTGCGTGTCGGGTAATGATAGCGGGCGTCTGACTCTTTTGGTACCTGTTGTGTGACTGCGGCACCAGGTGATCAATTGCTTCATAAAGTTTGTCTGATTTTAGTTGTCTCGTCGCTGGTTTGTGGGCAAGACGACTTGATCTTTTGATTTTCAGGTGTAAGTGGACAGCAGGTGGAACAGGCTTCAGCTGCGTATGGGTGATAGTACCGAAATGCACAGTAAATGGTGAGCAACTTAGGACATTAAGTACGGCTTTAGGTTGCGTGGTGGATTCTTGTTCCTGCGACTATTGCATTTCGTGCAGAACGTAAGTAACGTTTCGGGTATCAAATCAACACAGCGATGTTTCAAAATCGCGAACTTTTGTGGCCACAATGAAGACCGCAGCATATCAAAGCGGCCATGGTGTCGCGAACGATGGCCCGCTGTCTTGAACGTTGTAAGACACGAATTTGGAAATAAATCGGGATTTGTTACAGCCTGCAGGGATTAGAAAACCTAAAGGCAAAACGCACTGCGCACGATGTTGAAAGCTGCCGACTCGATCCAAAACGACCTCCAGCCTCAGATGAAGGCACGCCATTGTGAGGATGTGTGTTTCATCTCCGGCCGACCGAACGACAACACATTTACCTTCCTACTAATGCATGCAATTGGCAGTCACATGGGTTGTTAGATCAAAGATTTGAACACTGTTTATTCGACGGCCCGCTGGAGCTCTCTGCCGTCTGCTATTTGCATATCGCCACACATGCAGCATTGCACAGCCCAGGCCATGAAATGAGAACAGCCTGTCAGCGTGAAGCGCGCCAGACAGTGTGCCGAGCCGGCCGGGACATCGGCCAGTCCCCCGGGAGGGCCGGCCGGCCGGACAGGCGCCCCGCCGCTCCGCGAGCCAAACAAGGCCGGCAGGCGGGCGCGCAGTCTGTCGCCGCCCGCACGGGCGACAGTGCAATGGCCGCCAGCCCGGACATCAACACATGTAGCTCTGATGGCCCTCAGCCGTAAGTCGCATCAGTCAGTCGTGATGGTCTTCAGTCGCACGTCGTGATGTCGCTCATCCCAGTGGTCGTGTAGTGTCCAGTTAAACATATGAGCGAAATGTGGGGCTCGAGCGACCAGTGTTCGCGCGCGTGTCTGGTGCACCGGCTCAATCAATGCAATGTCCTGTCGACCTCATCAGTTTAGATTTGCGGGTGAAAATGGATCCAATTTTGACGCGCGTTTGTGGCATGCGTTTCCATCGTTGCGTCGTTGCCGACGTGCACTGATAAAAGCACGCTGCATGCGTCGCGTACTTATGAAAATCATGATGCATGCTTTGCACACTGATGTAAGCCATGCTTTGACATCGCAGTTCAACAATCATGTTTTGTTCAGGTCGTTTCAGGGTGCAGCTAGGATTAAGGGGGGAGGGGGGGG